TATAGAGATCTTTCATGTCCTTTGTTAGGTAACCTCCCAAATATTTCATCTTTAAAAACAAAACAAAACAAATATTTCATCTTCAGCACTCTTGTGAACAGAATAGAGTCCTTGACTGTTTTTTCAGCTTGATTATTGTTGGTATATATAAAGACTACAGATTTATGAGTGTTGATTTTGTAACCTGAGATGCTGGTGTATTCCTTGATCATGTCTAAGAGTTTTGTAGTAGAATCCCTGGTGTTTTTCAGACATACAATCATATCATCTGTGAAGAGTGAAAGTTTGATGTCTTCTGACCCTATATGGATACCCTTGATCGCCTTTTCTTCTATAATTGCAATGGCTAAGACTTCCACATAGTTGTTTTTAAATGTTTTAATTTTCCAAGCTTCTCCTCTGGGCCAATAGATGGTCTATTGTATGATTCCACCTATAATATCTTGCCCCAGGCATCATTTCTGAACAATGGCCCACTTTTAGGCAGGGGTGACAGTATCTTGCATTAGTATTTTAGGGGTCCCACAGACAGGTTAGAACAGATATATGCAATGAGTTGCAAATAAGGCCTGCTCTGCTTCCTCTGGATTGAGGGAGGGAATTGGGAACAGTGCTATTGTTTCAAGAGCAAGACTGCTGCCATGCTGGGGAAGGTTGTGGCAAGGGTGAGTAAGAACACTGCAAAATTTTCCCACTGTTTTGATGGTGGCGTCTGTGACTGTAGACCTTTCCCTATTTTCTGGAGCTCTTACAAAGTTGCTTCTGCAATTCTTGTTTTTTCAACATTTCTGTGGGGTAAAAAGAACTTGGAGTTTCCTAGTCCATCATTTTGCTGATATCACTCCCAGTGGCATTTTCTTTTTTTCTTTTTTTTTTTTTTTTTTCCTGAGACAGGGCCTTACTCTGTTGCCCAGGCTGGAGTACAATGACATAGTGATAGCTTGCTGCAACCCTGAATTCCTGGGCACAAGTAATACTCTTGCCTCAGCCTCCCAACCTATAGCAAGGACTACAGGTGTGCACTAACATACCTAGCTAATTTTTTTTTTTTGAGACAGTTTTACTCTGTCACCCTCTGTATGGTGCTATGGCGTCACAGCTCACAGTAACCTCCAACTCTTTGGCTTAAGTGATTATCTTGCCTCAGCCTCCCAAGTAGCTGGGACTACAGGCACCTGCCACATTGCCTGGCTATTTTTTTGTTGTAGTTACCACTGCTGTTTTAGCTGGCTGGGGCTGGGTTTGAACTTGCCACCCTCAGTATATGGGGCTGGTGTCCTACCTGCTAGCCACAAGTGCCCCTAGCTAATTTTTATAATATTTTGTGGAGGCTGGGTGCAGTGGCTCACAGCTATAATCCTAGCACTGTGGGAGGCTTAGGCAGGTGGGTTGCTTGAGCTCAGGAGGAGTGTGAGGCCGGCCTAAGAAAGAGCAAGACCCCCGTCCTTCCTAAAAATAGAAAAACTAGCTGGGTGTGGTTATGCATGCATGTCATCCCAGCTACTGAAGAAGCTGAGGGAAAAAGATTGCTCAAGCCCAAGAGTTTGAGGTTGCTGTGAGCTATGATGTCATGGCACTCTACCCAGGGCAACAGAGTGAACTCTGTCTCAAAAAAAGAAATATTTTGTGGAGACAGTCTTGCTTTGTTGTCTAGGCTAGTTGTGAACTCCTGGTCTCAAGCAGTCCTTCTACTTCACCCTCCCAAAGTGCTAGGATTACAGGCTTGAGCCACCACACCCAGCTCCCAGTGGCATTTTTTGTATCTTGACTTTTTCCTCATGTTTAATGCTTCAGGACCACAAAGATGGTTGCTATAGCTCTATACATTCCATTTATGTTTAGGGCAATGAAAAGCGGGGACAGCTAGAGTACAAGACAGCTACACACATCTTTAATGAGGAAAGAAAAATCCTTTGCATGGGCCAGAACCAGATAACATGGCTACTGCCAGTTGTAAAGGGGGTAGAGAGAGTAGGCAGTAGCCTCTCTCACCTGAGCTATGGGCACAATCCTTTACCAAATAGAGTCCAGGTTCTGATGGCAAGGGAGACAAAGGTGCCACTAGCAGGCTGATTACCTCCCAAAGCCAGAAGTTACAAATGTGACTACTCACATGCCTACCAGGGTACTGCACACACACCCAGCCATGAGACCTGTGGCCCAGGTTGGGTTACTGGCTCACCAAAGCCATCTACCATTCCTCTCAGCCCAGGCCCTCAAACTCTCTGAATGGTATGGGGGTGTAGAATAGCAAGCCAGTGAATGATCTTGATGGCTCTAGGGCTTGTCTACATGTGACTTACTTGGGGCAGGCTACATCAGGTGTCCACCTGAGACCTGACCATAGAGGGTCACTTTGCTGGTAGCTGGTTGCCCTCAATGCTTTCTGCCATAGCAATTTGATACAGCTCTGCTTCCAGGCCTTCTCAAAGTAGCTACATTTCAGGTGTATGTTATTAGTAAGATTAGTATCAATCTTATTACTAATGATAGAAAGTTAAAAATGAGGTATCATTTCATGATTATTAAATTAGTAAAGTCCAACAACAAATATAATACATGATGACAGTAAGACTGTGGTGAGATGGTGCATGTGTGCGTGGCTAGTATCAGTGGAAAGAGTCACAGCCCTCAGGAAATCACTGTGTTCATCATCCAGGGTTTGCTTCAGCCCTTCACCAGGTAGCAATAATTGAGAATCTGATAATTACCCAGTAAGTCCCAGATTAGCCTGGGGGAAGAGACTGTGAGCTGTGCCTTAAAGAATCATAAACTTCCAAAATAGAGGGAAAAGAAAAAAGAATAGTAAACCTCAAAGTCTGAGTCACCATTCTCATCTCCAGGAACTTGTTTTAAGGAAATAAATAAATAAAAAGACAAAACATCTTTAGGCACAAAGAAGTTATTTATAATGATGAAATATAGGAAACCGGCCCAATGGTCAGCACCAGAAGAGCAGATGGTGCATCTGTCCTATGTATTATAATCCAGCAATAAATGTGCTATCAGAGATCTAGGTAAATGCCATCTAAGGTGGCATTTATGTTGAAAGTCAAGATAAAAAGCAAGGTGCTTGAGTGTACAACTTAGCACACATGCCAACAAGTGAGGCTTGGGAGGACGAATCACAGGCAGTGGGGTGGTAAGATTTCATCTTTTATTCCAAGTTGAATTATGCTGCTCTCACACTATTTGTGTTTTACAAAAGACTCCAAGATATCACATATCTGAGCTCCATCTGTCTGAGGTGCTGGACTGGGCACAGCTAGGCCCCAGGGTCCCAGCCTGGGCAGCCCCTAATGGAACAAATGTATAAGAGATGGGTGGGCCCTGCACCCACTGCAGCAGGTGCTGGAGCTGGGCCCTGCTCACCTTGGCACTCACAGCCCCAATGCATGCCAGTAGTGACTTCTGGCTGCAAGGGCCCACTGCCTTGTCTGAGGGTTCTCAGCATGGGCTATGATGGCCATTCATGTTGGGGCTAAGTCTTCCATGAGTGTCTTCAACCAGCGACTGATGGATGTGGTAGAAAACTGTCTGCATACTTATTCCTTGGAGGGAACTCTCTGGCATATGTCCTCATCAGCTTCCACAGGTCTTCAAGGGCAGAAGCAGCTCTTGAACACACCATTGAGCAGCCTCAGGGGTTCAGCATGGACCCTCTGTCCCCTGGCTCATTCCCCACTCATCTACTGCTATCATGTGGAATTACCCCTAAAGAAATACGTACACTGGGATCTTTATTTCAGGGTCTGTCTGCTTCTAGAAGACCTGGATGACAGCACCAAGAACAGAAGACACAGAGAGACCAGCTTCATAGTGGTGGAGTCTCAGTATTTGTCAGCCAAGGAGTAGGGAGCAGTGCCAGGAAGGTGCTGGCTGGGGCAGGCCCTAGGCCACTCTCTTCTCTCTATCATGGCTGTCTTAAGGCTTAGAGGGCAGCGTGACCCTGCCCTAACCCTCTTCCCCTCAACCTCTGTCTTCCTTGGCATGAGCCTGGGTGGCTCTCCTCTGAGTCAGGTCAGGGTCCACAGAACACAAGAGTCAGCTAGGCTGGGCAACAATGAGCAAGTCTCTCCCTGCAGCTGCCTCCAGCAGGTGGCCATGGAGGAGATATTCTCAAAAGCCTGTGGTTATTGGGGGTTGGCCTTAGCAATGGGGACTAAGGTCTTGGCCCTTCCTAGTGATAATGAGAGCCCAAGGGAGGCTCAAAGATTCCTATCAGGAGGGAGTAGGAGGTGTTTACCCTGTCTCTGGGCCCAGGTGGGGCAGAGATGCTGCTCAGTGTTCCTAGCCATATTCTGCCCCTTGCTAGGGCGGGCTGGTGGGACAGCCCTAGGCAAGGTATAAGAGGGAGAAGAGAGGGGGAGGTGGATAAGAAAGAGTAAAGTGAACAGAGGAGAGTCTTATGTCATCTAGGGTCTCTGTCAACTATTATCTTCTGGAATGAGCTGTTCTTTTCCTTTGCTTCCTGGAGGAGGGGACTTTTGTCAGTGCGTCACTCTACCCCAGCTGTCCTTCTGTTATCAGGCTGTTAATATTAATTAACAACAGTTGCTAAGGATGATAGTGCAGAGGGCATGTCTCATGTAGGGTGGGGCAGAGTGGGGATCTGAGGCTGAGCCAGGGAGGGGAGGCAGGTTCCAGTCCGTGCTGAGCCCCTGAGGCTGGAACCCAGCCAGTGGCTGGTTCCACCTGCATCTGCAGGCCCTTGGGCCAACTCAACAAAGGCCAAAAGGGGGCTAAGAGCCAGGTCTCTCCCCGAGCTAGCTCCACCCTCTGGCTTTGATGGCTTTGGGAAGTGGGGGGAAATCCCAGCCCTGCCACAGAGAGGCTCATCTAAGAGGAGGGCCCATGGAGTGTGGCCCAACAGTGGAAAGAACAAGAGCAAGTGGATCATTAACCAGCAGAGCCAGCCCCATTGGTCCCTCACCCAGTCAGGCCAGGGCTGTCAGCAAGTGGGAGGAGGCTTTCTTAATGTGTGGTCAGCCTTCGGCTGTGCCTGAGGCCTGGTCCTGCTCCCCGCTGACCCCTTTTGGACCCAGGATGGCAGAGGCTGGCCTGAGGGGTTGGCTGCTCTGGACCCTGCTCCTGCACTTGGTGAGTCCCAGTGCTTGTGTCCATGTCCTCTGCTGACTCCCATGAAGCCCTGGAGCCACCTGTGTACCAGGCAGATGCTGCTGGGTGACAGTGAGAGAGGGACTCAGGGCCTGGGGGGCATCTGGCCCCCTGCTGAGAAGGGATGCGGGCAGTGGGTCCCCACGTCACGGGGGCTGAATGGACATGGGATAGGGGAGAGGCATGCTGTGGTCCTGGACCACAGATGAGGAATGATGAGCCAAGGAGGTGCTGGGGGTGGGCTTCCTGGCAAGTGTCACCTGGAGAGAACAAAGCATCCTGAGGAAGGAAGGAGGTCCAGGGCTTTCGCCTCTTTTGTTTCTCACTCACTCCCATGTCTAGGAGGTGGGTGACAGCATGGGGCCTCAAGCAGGTGGAGGTGTGTGGGACTTCTGGGAGAGACCCTGGCTTCTGGCTGTGGTGCAGTGTGGGGACTCAGGCTGACGGCAATGTGGGCAGAACCTGGCACCCATGAGGCACCTTGGTGTCACCTCCAATCCCCAAGTCTCTCCAGGGTGATTTTCCTAAACTGCAAGTCTACCAGGTCACTTCCTTCTCTTCAGTGACCCTGTCACCCTCCAGAAGAAAAGCCTGGCTGTGCCATTCACTTGTCACTCCAACACTGGTTGGCACGAGCCTCCGGGAGACTCTCCACTGTCCCTTTCCCCTATCCCTACCCTTATCTCCACACTCTTCCTGGCTTCCCACAGTCTGGACAATACCCAGTTGTGCTGACCAACATCAGAGCCCATGAATGACAATGCTGTGCTCCGCAGGCCCAGAGTGAGCTGTACACTCCCATTCATCAGCCTGGCTACTGCGCTTTCTATGATGAATGTGGGAAGAACCCAGAGCTGTCTGGAGGCCTCACGTCATTGGCCAATGTGTCCTGCCTGTCCAACACACCAGCCCGCAACATCACAGGTGAACACCTGGCCCTACTACGGAGCATCTGTCCCCGCCTCTACACTGGTCCCACCACCACCCAAGCCTGCTGCTCTGTCAAGCAGCTGGTATCACTGGAGGCAAGCATGTCCCTCACCAAGGCCCTCCTCACCCGCTGCCCAGCCTGCTCTGACAATTTTGTGAGCCTGCACTGCCACAACACCTGTAGCTCCAACCAGAGCCTCTTCATCAACGTGACCCGTGTGGCTCAGCGAGGTGTTGGTCAGCCCCCTGCCGTGGTGGCCTATGAGGCCTTCTACCAGCGCAGCTTTGCAGAACAGACCTACGACTCCTGCAGCCGCGTGCGCATCCCTGCAGCTGCCTCACTGGCCGTGGGCACCATGTGTGGTGTGTATGGCTCTGCTCTTTGCAATGCCCAGCGCTGGCTTGATTTCCAAGGAGACACAGGGAATGGCCTGGCCCCACTGGACATCACTTTCCACCTCCGGGGGCCTGGTGAGACCCCAGGGAGTGGGATGCAGCCTCTGAATGAGAAGATTGTGCATTGCAACGAGTCCCAAGGTGGCAACACAATGGCCTGCTCCTGCCAGGACTGTGCTGCCTCCTGCCCTGTCATAGCACGCCCCCCAGCCCTGGACTTCACCTTTCACCTGGGCCAGATGCAGGGTGGGCTTGCTGTTATCATCATCATCTGCTCTGTCTTTGTCTTGCTCACCATCTTCCTTGTGTACTTCCGAGTGGCCCCCAGCAAGGACAAAGGCAAAAAGGTGGAGACCAAGGAGGGCGCTAGCTTCCCTAACAAGCTCAGGCTCTCCATCCATACCCTCCTTGGCCAATTTTTCCAGGGCTGGGGCACATGGGTGGCCTCATGGCCGCTGACTATCCTGGTGTTTTCCACCATGTTGGTGGTGGCCTTGGCGAGTGGCCTGACCTACATGGAACTCACCACAGACCCTGTGGAGCTATGGTCGGCTCCAAACAGCCAAGCCCGGAAAGAGAAGGCTTTCCATGACCAGCATTTTGGCCCCTTCTTCCGAACCAACCAGGTGATCCTGACAGCTTCTAACCGGTCCAGCTATAGGTACGACTCCCTGCTGCTGGGACCCAAGAACTTCAGCGGGGTCCTGGCCCTGGACCTGCTACTGGAGCTGCTGGAGCTGCAGGAGAGGCTGCGGCACCTGCAGGTGTGGTCACCCGAGGCACAGCGCAACATCTCTCTTCAGGATATCTGCTACGCCCCCCTCAACCCGCACAATGCCAGTCTCTCCGACTGCTGCATCAATAGCCTCCTGCAGTACTTCCAGAACAATCGCACACTCCTGCAGCTCACAGCCAACCAGACACTGCTGGGGCAGACCTCCCAGGTCGATTGGAGGGACCACTTTCTCTACTGCGCCAAGTGAGTCCTTGGTGGGGCCTAGTCAGGAGTGGTATGGAAGGGCTGCCATGGCCTTCTGGGATCTTCTTGGGCAGAAGATGGGTAGTACTCAGATTACTATTATAGCAATAGTATCTGATTATCCCCACCCCTCCCATAGTCTCCACTTTCCTTGGTTGAAGTTCCTACTCACTATGGCAGGTTTGTGTGTAGCCACCAAGTGGTGCCAAGAACATGCCATCCAGGCTGCTGAGTGAGGTTTAAGTGAGAGGGGAGCGGGGGCAGACAGGAAAGGGCTCTCTGAGGCTGGGGCTGAGCAGAGGGCCTCAGCGTATACTCTTTGTATTCTATACTTGAGAGCAAATGAGAGTCAAAAAGGAAAATAGCATCTGAGTGGTATTAGGAAAACTGTTTTGACCTTGCCGATCCTTAAGGGGGTCTCTAGGACTCCTGAAGGCCCCAGGCCACACTTTGAGAACCATTAGGTTAGACAAGGGAGCCATTGGTCTCTGCCCCTCAGTACCTGGGTCTCCACCACTCTGCTGAGCCCCAACTTTGAGCTGCTGCCCACAGTGTCCATGCCATGAAGCCAGGGGCTGTCCCTCAGAAACTGTAGGACAGAGAAGCTGTTGTTAGTTGCTCCAGGAAGCATTGGTGGTGACCCCAGACTCACGTCTGATTGCAGGTTTAGAGTCCTTGTGCATCATCTTTATTTTGATTTTGGGTACTCACAACAACTCTTGGTTGTTCCAATAACCCTCATTTCATAGACAGGAAAATAGGCTCAGAGGGGCATGGTGAATTGTTCGGTCTCACAGCAGCCAGCATTCTCAGGAATAGCTGATTACTTACTGCTGTCCTTGCTTGTGCAGAGCTGGGAATAGCACATGCCAACCTTTGCCCAGGCATCCTGCTGCATCTTCACAACCATGCACTTTGCAGAAAGGCCTAAGTTGAAGAGCATATGGACGTGCCCAAAGGCACTGTGCTGGTTAACTGTAGATACATTGGCTCCTGGATTCCAAGGCCCAAAATCTAAACTCAGATTTTTGGGACCCCAGGCAGGAGGAGGCAGCTGAGAGAGTAGTGTGTGAGATAGCTGGTGCAAGGCTCCACAGCCCACATCCTGCTGCCCCACCCCAAGGGGATCTTAGGGGGTGATGCTCAGTCGGCTTTCTCCATCTGGGAATCATTTAAAGACAGAGCATGGAGGTGCTCAGGCTGGTATGGGTGCCCAGAGCAGCCCCTGCCTGGCATAGGGAAGGATTCAGGACAGCTCTGGCCCCCTCCCTGGGCTGGGGCCTGCAGGAGATCTTGTTGGAAGGAAGCCCTTTAAGGATCTACTGGGCCTGGCTATCTGCAGCTGGCACCCCCAGCTTACCCTCCATGGTGCTGTGGGCCAGGGGTAAGGCAGGGTGTGGCAAGGGCCTCCGGAACTGGGCAGGGCCAGGAAAGGCCCCTTTCCTCTGTGGTGTCCCTGCAGCGCCCCCCTCACCTTCAAAGATGGCACGGCTCTGGCCCTGAGCTGCATGGCTGACTATGGAGCCCCCGTCTTCCCTTTCCTTGCTGTGGGGGGGTACAAAGGTAAGATGATTGGGTCCTGAAAGGAGGCCAAGGAGGGCACAATATTAAGGCAGGAATAATAGGCAGAGTGTGGGAGTGGTGACAGGGTCCCATAGCCTGGGCATGGCCTGGCTATGGAAACCTCAGACCCACGCCATCCTGCCTTCTCTCTCTGCCACCTACTCCATCTGCTCCCAGAACTGCTTGCTTTGTCCCTGGGCCCAAAGGTCTTGTTTGTGGCTGAGAGAAGTGGGGTGTCGGGGGGAAGGCCATGACTTAGATGAGGAAAGAGATGGGGAGCAACAGCAGGGCAGGGTGTAGGGGTGCATCTGGAAGAAGGGAGGGAAGTGGGGGTGACCCTGGAATGGGAGGGGGGCAGGGATGAAGCTTCAGGGAACTGAGCATTTCTTATCCCAGGGAAGGACTATTCTGAGGCAGAGGCCCTGATCATGACATTCTCCCTCAACAATTATCCTGCTGAGGACCCCCGTCTGGGCCAGGCCAAGCTATGGGAGAAAGCCTTCTTGGAGGAGATGCGAGCCTTCCAGAGTCGGACAGCTGGAAAGTTCCAGGTTGCATTTATGGCTGAGGTAGGGGCTGTGGGTTCCTGGGGTTGTGGTCCACACGGTCTTGAGTCAGTTACTATGTCCCCATTCTGGCCTTGCCCCTTCCTGAATGACCCTGGGCACTGCGTGCTCAGAATGGGGTGATTTGAGTGCTGTTCTTGCAGCTGCACGAGGGCTTACAACAGGCCATGGGGCAAAACACATTTGGGGCCCAGTGGCTGAACTCTTGAGCGCTGGCCTGGACAGAGCAGGTGCAGTCAGTGGGGCTGGTTGGGTATGTATCCACAGCGCTCTCTGGAGGATGAGATCAACCGCACCACAGCTGAGGACCTGCCCATCTTTGCTGTTAGCTACATTGTCATCTTCCTATACATCTCCCTGGCCCTGGGCAGCTACTCCAGGTGCAGCCGAGTGCTGGTGAGAAGTGGGAGAGAGATGGTGAGGTGGGATGGCCCAGGGCCTTGGGCCTTCTAAAACTTCCTTAACTAGAGTACCTCAAAGCAGCAAAATGGATATATTCAAAGTGACTCTCCTAAAGGGTGATGTTTCTTGGAAGTGTTCAAGAGCAGTTTTCTTTCTGTTACCTGACATGCTCCACCTGTCCAAATGCAAAGCTAGGATTCAAAATCTCTTGCAACATGTGCTCAAGGAAGATGCAGCAGGCTCACCTGTGTCTTTGGGTGCCATGGGACTACCCTTGGGGGAATGGCTCTGCAGAGGGATTTCCTGAAATGGGAACTCCTTGCCACTGGGAGCAGTACTGCACACCTGTGAGCACCAAGAGTGCCTACATGCTCCCCAGTCTCCTCCAGCCCAGACTGAGGGACATATATGGGCAGGTGCCCTGGTGGCCAGGGGCTGTGATTGGTTGCATTACAGGTGGACTCCAAGGCCACGCTGGGCCTGGGCGGGGTGGCCGTGGTGCTGGGAGCAGTCATGGCTGCCATGGGCTTCTTCTCCTACCTGGGTATCCGCTCGTCCTTGGTCATCCTCCAAGTAGTACCCTTCCTGGTGTTGGCTGTGGGGGCTGACAACATCTTCATCTTTGTCCTCGAGTACCAGGTGAGAATGGAGTTCTCCACCCCTCCTACTGCCCCTCCACTCTCAACTCCACCTCCTGGCCAGACAGAACTGCAGCATCATTTTGCTAGACTCTGTGCATTGACACTCTAGTTTGTGCAAAGTGTGTTAGCCAGGTGCAGTTGCACACGCCTGTAGTCCCAGCCACTCAGGGGGATGAGGCAGGGGAATTTTGAGTTTGAGCCTGGCCTGGGAAAAATAGTGAGACCCTGTCTCCACCAAAAAAAAAAAAAAAAAAAAAAATAGAATGTGTTGATCAAAATGAGTTTATCCTGTGCCATCCAGAATTTGCAACAACTAGGGAAAGCTTTCTGTGTCAGTACATTTATGCTGCAACGTAGCATTCCACAATAAGGATAAATCATAATCACCTTAGACTCCCCTGTGAACTTCCAGAGTTCCAGTGATGTTTGGAATAGGATTGCTATAGATAGCCCAAGTGAACGAATGAACAGAGCATTTCTCTAGAAAGAGCGGTTGTGGAGAGTGTTAGATTCTGTTCCCAATTCAGGAAGGACAGAGAAAATTCTTCAGGCCTGTCTGAGTCTTTGGGCTCTTGCCAGTTCCTGTCAGCCTTCCCAGGATGGTGCCTTTCATGGGCTCTGGACTCTATTCCTGCTATTCTTATACAGAGGCTGCCTCGGAAGCCTGGAGAGGAACGGGAGGTCCACATTGGCCGAGCTCTGGGCAGGGTGGCTCCCAGCATGCTGTTATGCAGCCTCTCTGAGGCCATCTGCTTCTTCCTTGGTAAGCCTGGGGCAAACCCTTCCTACCCAGGTGCTGGGCCTGTTGGGCTAGTCCAGGGGCCCAGGAGTTCTCAGAAGGCAGTGGGCACAGGGCAGACTTCCTTCCCTCTGCACCTTGCCTGTGTAGGCTCCCACCCTGCCTCTGAAGCAGGATTGCCTTGACAGCCTTCTGTCCCCCACAGGGGCCCTGACCCCCATGCCAGCTGTGCGGACCTTTGCCCTGACTTCCGGCCTTGCTGTGATCCTTGATTTCCTGCTGCAGATGTCTGCCTTCGTGGCCTTGCTCTCCCTGGACAGCAAGAGGCAGGAGGTAGGGGCAGCTGGGCCAGGACCAAAGTACTTGCCTCTGGGTCTCCACCTTGGCAGGGAGAAAGGGTGGTCTCAAGTGCCACAGAGATGGCCCAGAGAGTGGGGTATGGGGCTGAGGCATTGCAATGGGAATAAAGTATTAGGCCACGTATTCCCCACTCTCCTATAGAAAAAGAATTTTGTTTTAGCAATTTTGAGAAACATGATCAAACCTCCTAAAGTACATGAGGTGAATAAATAAAATACAGTTCAGTCTCAAACAATGCAGAGTTGGGGCGCCAACTACCAAAGCAGTATAAAACGTGCGTATAACTTTTGACTTCCCTAAAACTGAGCTAGTAACAGGCCACGATTGACTAGAAGCCTTAACAATGACATTAAACAGTTTTTACACGTATTTTGTATGTTGTATTATACACTGTAGTCCTACAATAAAGTAAGTCAGAGAAAATAAATGTATTAAGACAAAGATAAAGAAGAGAAAATATGTTCGCCTTTCACCAAGTGGAAGTGGATCACCTGGACTTTATCCTTCTCGTCTTCAGGTTGAGTGGGCTGAGGAGGAGCAGGGAGTGGAGGGGTTGGTTTTGTTGTCTCAGGGGTGGAAGAGGTGAAAGAAAATCTGCATACAAGCCATGCATGTAGTTCAAACCCAAGTTGTTCAAGGAGTCCAGCTCTTCCTATAGCTCAACCAGCTAACGCACCAGCCACGTACACCTAAGGTGGCAGGTTCGAATCCCCAGCCCAGACCCACCAAAACAACAATAACGGCTGCAACCAAAAAATAGCCGGGCGTTGTGGTGGGCGCCTGTGGTCCCAGCTACTTGGGAGGCTGAGGCAGGAGACTTGCTTGAGCCCAGGAGTTGGAGGTTGCTGTGAGCTGTAATGCCACGGCACTCTACCCAGGGGGACAGCTTGAGGCTCTGTCTCAAAAAAAAAAAAAAAAAAAAGGAGTCCAGCTCTTGCTTCCATGATGGTATAAAATTCAAAGATATTTTATCAAGATAGAAAATAAATGCAAATAGCACATTGGCATATCCCCATGAGCAGTGTTGGCACAGGCCACTCCCAGAAGGTGGCACTTCCTGGGATAGGGAGGCAGTTCCTGGGGTCTACTCTGGGACTACCTTGAGGGTCTGTCTCCCCTTCTAGGCATCCCGGCTGGACCTCTGTTGCTGTGTCAAGTCCCAGGAGGTACCCCCACCTGGCCAGAGTGAGGGGTTCCTACTCCGCTTCTTCCGCAAAGTCTACGCCCCCTTCCTAATGCACCGGCTCACACGTGGGGTTGTGGTGAGTGGGTCTTACACCACAGGGGGCAGGGGGGACTGTGTGGGGACTTGCCCTTAAGGAGAGCAAGGTTGGTGTTGATTTGGGCCTGGCACTCAAGTCTACCCAACTCCAAAGGGTTTGCTTGCCAGGACACCCTGACTGGCTCAAATTTATGGGAAGGTGGGGTGCTACTGCACAGGGGGTTCTCATGCAGCAGTTCCCTCCTCAGCTGCTGCTGTTTCTGGCTCTGTTTGGAGGGGGTCTCTACTTCATGTGCCACATCAGCGTGGGACTAGACCAGGAGCTAGCCCTGCCCAAGGTGAGCCCAGGTCCTTCCCAGCCCTCAGCCCCCTAGGATTTGGGGAGGGGCAGCAGTACCCAGCAGGCAGGGGCCAGACACATGAGCCAGCAGTGTGATTGGCAGTGCAGAATTGCTTGTCACCTTGGAAGTGCCCCCAGTGGACCTTGAAAGAGAAGTCACATTTCTGTATAAAAAGCACAAGAGCCATGTGCCAGCCCAAGGCCACACTAAGAGTGATGTCCCAGGCATCTGGGACACATGAGATGACTGGCCATGGAGAATGACCAATGCCTTGCTGAGAGCCAGCCCTGTGCTTAGTGCTGTGAATGCTCCAGGCCTGGGGCTGAGGAGGGCAGGGGCTCAGAGGAAGGAAAGCCTGCATGGTTAGAGGGGATCTCTAAGGTTGCGCAGGATTTGCAGGGGAAAATGTTGACAGACTCACCTGGGGGGTGAATCCAGGTGTGTTTCCTAGGCATGGGAGCAACCATGGGGTGGGACAGGAGTGAAGAAGGACAAGTTGGAGGAAGGGAGTATGATGGGGGAGGGGTCTGATCACCAGGCCTAGGCCAGAAAGTGTGTGGCACAATGTGTCAGCCAAGCCCAGGACCCATGGCTTGTCTGCAAATGCATCAGGGGTGGTATGGGCTGGTGGTAGCAAAGTCTGAGACACATGGCCAGACTGAGTGACCAGTCTCTAGGGAGAGGGCGGGAATGGTGGGGGCTTGCTCTGTAGGACTGCTCAGGAGAGCTGTGATGGAGGTGTGGATGAGGATCTGGGTACTGGCAGGAGCCCCAGAGAGAGCGGGCAGGTTCGCAGCCAGTGACAGGGCTGAGTGGGGTGTGGCTGGGACAGATTTTAGGTAGTGCTGGCCCAAGGTGTTGAAAGTGAGGTGAGAAAGGAGAGCAGCCAGCTCAGAACTATAGCTTCTAGTGACCATATGGAGGGACAGAAGGTAGGGAAGCCAGCAAGGGCCACAGCATTAACCTCCCACCTACAGAACCAGGGTTGTATCACAGGGTGGAGGCAAAGAAGTTTCCCAGTGCCCTGAAAGCAAGAAGGAAGGAGGTGGCCAGGCACAGCGGCTCGTATCTGTTAATCCTAGTACTTTGGGAGGCTGAGGTGGGAGGCTGGAAGGATTGCTTGGAGCCAGGAGTTTGAGATCAACCTGACAGCATAGCAAGACACTGTCTCTACAAAAAATAGAAAAATGAGCAAGAAAATAGCTAGGTGTGGTGGTACACACCTGTAGCCTCAGCTACTCAGGAAGCTGAGGCAGGAGGATTGCTTGAGCCTAGGAGTCTGATGTTGCAGTGAGCTATGATCACAGCATTTCACTTTAACCCATGCAACAGAGGGAGACCCTGTCTCAAAAAAAAAAAAAAAAAAAAAAAAAAAAAGAAGGAAAGAAACAAAGAAAGAAAGAAAGAAAAGGAAAAGAAAAAAAATCAAAAAAACGAAGGAAGGAGGTGATAGGCTGCAAGACTTCAGTGAAGTTTTATGTTGATGGGTATTGTTTATTTTTCTGTTGGGGATATTTGTTTCTTACTGCTGTTTAAAAATTCATTTTCCCGTTTTTTTTTTATTTGAGCAAAATACATATGAAATTTACCATGCTAATCAATTTTTTTTGAAAAAAAGTTTTAGGTAATAAAGTATTTTCTTTTCTTCTTCCTTTCTTTTATTTCTATCTTTCTTCTTTTCTTTATTTCTTTCTCTTTTTTTTTGAGACAGGGTCTTATTCTGTTGCCTGGGCTGGAGCGCTGTGGTATCCTCATAACTCACTGTACCTCAGACTCCTGTGCTCAAGTGATCCTCCTGCCTCATGCTTTCAAGTAGCTAGGACTACAGGCCCCCCTCCCACCCTATCAGTCTAATATTTTCTATTTTTTGTACAGATAGGGTCTCACTCTGTTGCTCAGGATACATCTTAACCATTTTAAGTGTACAGTTCAGTGATATTACTGTGTTTCCCTGAAAATAAGACACTGTCTTATATTTATTTTTTCTCAAGAAGACACACTAGGGCTTATTCTCAGGGGATGTCTTATTTTCATTAAAAATAATACAACAGTCTACATTTATTCAAATACAGTTAAGTCATCTTCTTCTGGAACCTGACAGGGGGAGCCAACCTTGTTGGTGGGGCTGGCGCTAGTGATGCATGAACTCCTTTCCCCTAGCCGTTTGCACATGCTCAATAGGATGCCTGCGTCTGGGGTTTCCAGATGCACACCTGCGCAAGTGCAAACAGCTTGGAGAAAGGAGCTGTGATAGATAAAAGGTATTCTAGTCTTCCTTACAGCTCCACCCCAAAATGCATGGTGTGGCTGTGCAGTGTAGCTAGCCACGCCCATCACTAGGTCTTATAATCGGGGGTAGGGCTAATATTTAACAAATGCATAGAAATCCTGCTAGGGCTTATTTTTTGGTAGGTCTTATTTTCGGGGAAACACGGTAAGTCCATTCATATTATTTAACCATCACCACTATCCATCTCCATAACTCTTTTCTTCTTACAAAATTGATACTATACTTAATGAACAATGGACTCCCCCTTCTCTCCTCCCTCCAGCCCCTGGCAACCACCACTCTACTTTTTGTCTCTATGAGTTTGACCATTCTAGGCACCTCATGTAAGTGGAATTATACAAATATTTGTCCTTTTGTGACTATCTTATTTCACTTAGCAGGATGCTATAGTATGTGTCAGAATTTCTTCCTTGTTAAGATTGGATAACATTCTACTATGTGTATATGCCTCATTTTGTTTATCCATCCATCTGTTACTGGATATGTGGCTATTGTGAATAATGCTGTTATGAACACGAATGTTTGAATCCCTGCTTTGAATTCTCTGGATATATACCCAGAAGTAGAATTGCCAGATCATATGGTAATTATGTTTCTCATTTTTCAAGGACTCTTTATGTTTTCCACAATAGCTGCAACATCTTACATTCCTACTAGCAGCACACAAAGTTTCCATTTTCTTTCTTTCTTTCTTTCTTTCTTTTTTTTTGGAGACAGAGCCTCCAGCTGTGGCCCTGGGTAGAGTGCTGTAGCATCACAGCTCACAGCAACCTCCAATTCCTGGGCTCAAGCAGCTGGGACCACAGGCGGCCGCCACAATGCCTGGCTATTATTATTTTTTTTTTTTTGGTTGCAGCCGTCATTGTTGTTTGGTGGGCCCAGGCTGGATTCGAACCCGCCACCTTAGGTGTATGTGGCTGGCGCCTTAGCCACTTGAGCCACAGGCGCCGAGCCCCCAATTTCTTTATATCCTCACCAACACTTGTTCTTTTCTGGTTTTTTTATTTTAATAATAGTCATACTATCAGATGTGAAGTAGTATCTCTGTTGTAGTTTTAACTTGCATTTCTGTAATGATTAGTGATGTTGAGCATTTTTAAAAAGTGCTTATTGGCCATTTGTTGTCGCTGTTTGTCCCCATTGACTTCCTTAGAATCTGGTTTTTTTTTTTTTTTTTTTTTAGAGACAGAGTCTCACTTTGTCGCCCTCAGTAGAGTGCTGTAGCATCACAGCTCACAGCAACCTCCAGCTCTTGGACTTAGGCCATTCTCTTGCATTAGCCTCCCAAGTAGCTGGGACTACAGGCACCAGCCACAACACCTGGCTATTTTTTGTTGCAGTTTGGCCGGGCCAGGTTCGAACCTGCCACACTTGGTATACGGGGCCGGTGCCCTACTCACTGAGCCACAGGTGCCGCCCGTGGAATCTGGTTTCTAATCTAATCATTAACTTGTTCAAAACTGGTTCATCAAGTCCAGGTTTTTTCTATTAATATGCTGGGAAAGGTTTTGATCACTGATTGACTCTCCTTATTAGTTAATGGTCTATTCAGATTTTCTATTTTTTCATGATTTAGTCTTGGTAGGTTTGTGTTTCTAGAAATTATCCATTTCATGTATATTATCTAGCTTTCAGGCATACAATTGTTCATAATGCTTTTTATAATTCTTTTAAAATTAGAATGAGTACTAATTTCCCACTTTCAATTTTGATTTTAGTAATTTGAGTCTTCCCCCCCTTAGTTAATCTAGCTAAAGACATGTTGATTTTATTAATTTTTTTGATGAACCAACTCTTGATTTTGTTGATTTTCTCTATTGTTTTCTTATTCTTTTTTAGACTGGGGCTGGGTTTGAACCCGCCACCTCCGGTATATGGGGCCAGTACCCTACTCACTGAGCCACAGGTGCCACCCCAGTTTTCATATTCTTTTTTTGTTGTTGTTGTTTGAGACAGAGCCTCAAGCTATCCCCCTGACTAGAGTGCTGTGGCATCATAGCTCACAGCAACCTCCAAGTG